GCCAGTCGCAGCTACACTTGCACACTGAAAGAGGGACAATGACGGTGGGATGCTGTAATTAAAACACCTGCCAAACACCAAACAGAAGGACACATACGCATATCAGCAAAGTCTATGGGGTCACCCACGAACCACCCACTCTGTTGTGTCTTACCGCTGGTATGCTACCCCAGCTACGTCCGTTGTAGAGGGGTCAGCGGGCGTCCAGCCGCAGCCCCTCCCCCTCTGGCGGCCGGCCCGTGCCCAGCCCATCAACGGCACGGACAGGAGGGGGGCGGGGGGCACCAGGCGGCGCTCCCCGGCACGCCGTGCTTCTCCCCCCGGGCAACTTACATTTCTAGACATTTGCACACACACATACACTTGCACCGCACTCACCCATCCCGTTACTGCACTGCACTGCACTGATCACTGCACTTTGACACAAACGTAGAGAAGACAAACTGTGGTTTAGTTGGCTCGGCCCCGTCTCGGTCGGTGCGGAGCGGAGCGGAGCGCCTTCACCGCCTCCGCGCGCGCCTGGCGGGGAGCGAGCCCTCAGGCCCCGCCAGACGCAGGGGCGTGCGGTGCACTCCAGACGTCCTCACCCTTCGGCGTCCCAGGGCCGAGTCGTGACGATGACCTGGGACAACAAATTACGCGCCTCGTTTTGTGTTGTCGAAAAACAAAACCCCACCCACCCGGAGACCAGGCCGGCGACCAGCCACCCACGAGCCTCACGCGACTCGGGAGCCGGACGAGCCGGAGCCGTTGACCGGTCACCTTCCCTCCAGCAGCGGAGGGGAGGACTCGGGAGGACCCGCAGACTTTCGGTCTGCCCGGTGCACAATAAGTTGTGTGGGCTTGCCTGGTTTTCGCTTGGCCTTTTTGCGGGGCCTTCCCTGGTTTTCACCTGTCTTTTTCGCGGAAAATTTCTTACAGACTTCCTATCTTTTTCTTTTTTTTTGGGGGGGGGGGGGAGTCGAGTGGGGATTGGAAGGTGGCGTTCACGCTAAATCCTCAACGCACTGAGCCCTATGCCACCTTATTCATTATGTCCTCAAGGAAGAAGGCAAAGTCAGCATGACATCAAAATGACCTTTCACACACACGTTCCTTGCGGCGGTGGTCACGCTCCCATGTTAAATCGTTGGCACCAAAAATCGAGCCAAAAATGAGGCCCAAGGAATGTGTTAAGGTCAATATTGGGGACCATTTTGAGATCACGTACATCTCAAATTAGTCCGCAATTATTGACCTTAAGGGTCATGTTGACGTCATTTTGAAGTCATGCTGACTTTACCTTTCCCCCTTGAGACGTTGTGCACAACAACTTCTTTCAAATTGCGCATGTGTACAAACTGCACAGAGCTCTGCAAGTATCATGCACAAGGGTTTATGGGTGAGTTGCGCACATAGCCTCTTGCCAGCAATGCTAGTAATGCCGTCTGCGTCGAGGAGTTCCCTGGTTCTGAGAACGCCGGGTTCAACCCGGAGTACGCGCGTACGCCCCAGTACGTAAGTCCCGAGGACGCATGCGTCTCACTGCAGTGAGTGAGAACACATGACAAAAGTACTCCCGACTCGTGACGCGTGTTGTCCTTCTCGCTCGTACTCACGGTGCGGGAGGTTGGACATTGTCGCAGCGCTCGTTTATGCAGGTCGCCGACCCTGCCCCGCATCCGGGGAACAAAACGTCGTCCTGAACGCGTGTCCTCGCCAGTCCCTCCCATACAAGCCTGACGGGGCGGAGCGGGCGCGTCCACGAGGGACCTAGTGTAATTATTGATGCACAGAGTTGTTTCAGGAGTTCGTGGCACCTTGTGCAATCACCGCCTTGACAAATGCATCTGGTGCAGCTAGTACGAGGGGTGGATAACACCCCTAATTCTGCCCAATTCAAATTGGATTCAGCCCAATTCAATTTTATTCGACATAATTCAGAAGTAATTCAAACAAATTTAAAAATCATTCAACTAATTCACTCCAATTCAAGAGAATTTACATTAAATTCAAGTCAATTCAAGCCAATTCAGTAAAATAAAAGCACAATAATTCAAACCAATTCAAAAACAATACAACCAATTCAGTGCAATAAAGCACTCCGGTAAAGCTGAAATGCTTTAGTCAAATTCAATTCAAGCCAATTCAAATCGAATGAGGTATTTTCCGAATTAGAAGAACAAGAGGAATATCGTCTGCTCCCGGACCATCACAAAGCCTCGACCAATCAGAGAGAGCCTCTCTCGGCCTCTCTCGTGGCCGGCTCCAGAAAGGCCGTCGCTGATTGGTCGAGGCTTTGTGATGGTCCGGGAGCAGACGATATTCCTTTTGTTCTTCTAATTCGGAAAATACCTCATTCTTGAAATTTGTACACCCAATTCAGGAGTTTCCACCCCTCGAGCTAGTGTAGGTAAGGTAATGCGTGCACGGATCCTTGCTCGCCTATTAGTCTGACTCTATCGCACTGAATGGTGGCTTCCATATCCACGACCAACGACAAAATTTGTCCTGAATTATGAAGACGTTGGCAATTGCTTCTGAGGGGTTCGAGGGCCCTGATGGCGTGCTCGCCGCAACAGTCGGGGTGCGCGGGCCGCGACGAGACGAGAGGAGACAGAATGTCAGCTCGGCAGCTAGGCGCCACACCTCGAAACATTATGCCCTTCGGGAAAGCGACACTTTTATACAGCTGCATGGCCTGAGGTGCATCTTGACCTGCTGGCCGCTGGCCGGGAGAAGGGCTCATAGAAGGGTCCTTCACGGCCCGAATAATGCTCCGACAATGGCAGAGTGGATCATCCCGCCCGGGAGAAATCCCCCCGCCGTTCCCGATGCGTCATCCCGACGTCACCGGGGGCTTGGAGCCGACGGAGCCCCCCGACAGCGTGGGTCTGGACGAAGCGGGCGTAACGGGGGAGGGGGGAGGGAGGACGGGGTGGAGGAAGGGGAGGAGGGGGGAACCTGTATCGGCCATCAGTCCGGCCCGGCGCGGCTGGCAAACCAGTCGAGGGCGTCCGAAGTTGCCCTCGCCGGCATGCAGGGGTGCGACGGAGTCAGCGTCGCCGACTTTCTGGACGCCGCCCGAGAACGCCCGTAGGCGTGGCGGCTTCGCCTGGAACGCACTCTGTCGGGCAGGTAGGCAACTCTCTGACCTTGGGGCCGCCTCGGCTTGAGCGGGCCGTGAAGGGCCTCCAGCCCCACGTCTCCTCGACGACGGCCCCTCCCTCCTTTGGCACCGCCGAGGGAACGACCGGGTCCTCGAGGACGGCGGCGGCGTGCACGGTGCCAGGCAGATGGCGGGTGAACCACGTTCGCCAGGCCTCCTGCAGGGCTCCGCCTGGACTCCGCCTGGGCTCCGCGAGCTGCGTGAGGGCCTGCGCGGAGGGCTCGTGGAGGCAGCCGCGGCCGAGCGGGTCGGGCTGGCGCGCCAGGCCCGTGAGGCGGGGCCCGCTCCGGGGCGGCCGCGGCTGCCGTCCTCGTCGGACAGCCGCAGGTGCGCGGCCGCGGGGCCCGGCGCTCACCTGCGCGCGAGCGGCGAGGAAGGTAGGGCGCGCGCACCTCGGACGCAGCACCCGCTCGGCTGGCCGGCCACGCCGGAGCGCGGCGCCCCGCCCCGCCCCGCCTGCTCGTGGAGCCGAGTGAGACGCTGCCGGGCCCGGCCGCTCGCCGCAGTGCCGCTCGCTGCGCCGCTCGCCCAGTCGCCCTCAGTTCCTCAGTTCAGTTCTCAGTCGCGCTCTCGCTCAGCACGGACGGGCCACGCTCGGCCCCACCGCACCGCCGCCCCGCGCAGTCAGTCTCCCCGGCCCCCGCGGGCCCACCGCGCCGCGAGCGTCCAGTCCGTGTGCTTGGATACCTAGTGACTCTCTATTGGATTACCTGCAGCCTCCTCCATGTTGATAAACGTAAGTGCTCCACCACGACGCCTCGTTCACGCCTGTGGTACCCGTCGTCGCGGACCCATCCCTCCCCCGCCCCCGCAGTTCCAGCCCCCTCCCCCCTACCTCCACCAACACACTCCACATTCACATGTTGTGTTCCCCTACTGCCCCATGCAGTGCAGCGTACACTTGTCGCCCACCGCCCCTTTAACTCGGCCCAGGGCCTAACTGTTTTATCCCCCCCCTCTCCCTCGGCCCACGGCGCCGGCCCCGCGGGCCCCGCCGACCTCCTCGCGCCTTCGCCCGGGCCGCCGTCGCCGTCCTTGGCGTGCGCCGCGGCGCCCTGCCCGGCCCTGCCTGGCTCCCGGACGATAATGAGTTGACGACGACGGGGACCTCGTCGTCCTCGGGCGCGGCCGCGCGGCCGCCGCGGCCCACTAGGAGGGCGCCCCCACGACAGCTGTTGCACGTCCATGGCGTGGTGGTGGTGGTGGGGGGCTCATTTGTTTTGCCTACTCTTTGCAATCGAATGGTTGTGGTGTGTGTGTGCGTCCTCACGACGGCCCCCAGGCGGGTGATCGGACAGCTTCCCGGATTGTTCGCTTACCGGTGCTAATGCTCGGATGCAGTCCACTAAATGTTGGTTTTTGGTCTGTGGTAAACAAATCACTAATATTTTGGTGCCAACTTGTCTGCCTCGGGGAAGACGAAGAAGGAGGGGGGGGGGGGGGCAGGCCGGCCGGCAGCGGCCGGCAGCTAGTCATAAAGCCATCGGAGCACCCGGCAAAAGAGGAACTCGGCTCGGCAAAAATATTATAATTGTAAATAGTAAAATCAGGGCAGCAGGTGCGATAAACGGAGAGAGGATAAAATATGACCGGTGTCTGTGTGGCGCTGGGCGCGCGGGTGGCGCCCGTCGCGCCGTGTCAGCCTGTGATTCATGGGGTGCGAAAGACCATCACGGGGCGGCCGGCGCCCCCCCCCCCCCATAAAATCATCAGCGAAACCCTCGTCTCTCTGCTGCTGCCCCTGCTTCTGGTGAATGACCCTCTTGCACTGCCGGTATACGGGTCCGCTTGCCGCGGGCCGTATGGTTTTCTCTCCGCGAAGTTCTCCCTTGTTATGATGGTGCGACACTGACATGGGAGCGGGGCCGGGCGGGGCGGGGCGGCCCCGTGGGCAGACCCATGCTCGCTGCTGCCGTGGGTCGCCATGGGCTGCTTTCTTATGGACTTCACGCATGGTTCGATCCGGAAAGAAAGTCTTCTTACGTATGCGCCCCTGTGTGTGTGTGTGTGTGTGTGTATGTGTGTATGTGTGTGTGTGTGTGTGTGTGTGTCAGTGCGTGTGTGTGTGCGTGTCTGTCTGCTTGCGCGCTCGTGCGTGGCGCGAGGTGGGTGGCGGCGCGCCGAGGCCGCGAGGTCGATCGGACACATCACTTATTAAATCCGTGTTTGTTTGGGGAGCGTAGCTGACCCACAAACAGCCCCATACCAAAAATAGGTCTGTTCAGGGAAGGCGCTCGCAGCAGACCGATAAGTACGTACCGAGGCTGGCTGTTTTCCACTCTGTGGGGAAACTTTGATTTCCTACCATCCATATTTCGCAAAAATACATGAAAGCAAACCGTGTAAATCCTACGGTTGCCCACGTTTACGTCCTTTTGCTTGCCAACATCGTAAAATGGCCTTACTTTGTACCACCGTGTGGGGGTTTCCCTCTGGACACATCACACACACGACACACACTCACTTCCCGCCCTTCGCGCCTTTATGCATACATCGATGTATGGTCATACATCACACAAAATGTCTTCACGTCAGTGTTCGTGTTGACGCGCGCCGTGTGTGTGTATGTGTATATGTGTGTGAGTGTGTGTGTGTGTGTGTGTGTGCAATGACCCGCGGAAGGGCTCTTGGTGGGGGTGAGGAAGTATGTGTTGTGTTGTGTCGGACGCGGCCCGGGGCAACGCGGGATGGACGCGCGGGTTGTTTTGTTTTCCGCGGCGGCCGTTCTCTGCAAAGACAGAGAGGCCGCTTCGCGATTGGCGGAACAGCTGTGAGTGCTGCAAATGAAAGCGGCGAGGAGGAGGAAAACGGTATGTTTATTTTGGCTTAATCGGGGCGATGGTACAACGATGGCTCAAAGGGCATCGCATTCACACAAACTTGGGAACAACGCCGGATAGGATAATGATTTCGGAGGCAACTGCACCTCTCCTCTCCCCCCCCCTACCCCCGCCTCCCACCCTGCGCTAACTTCCTTTTCCAATGCTGTGATTAGGTTAGACCAGGTCAAAATTGCGTAAATGACATGTCATTTATTGATTGTTAACAAAGTTCGTCCGTACATTCCCAAATATTCTGATCGAGGAATAATAACAGAATTCGGAAATCTTGGAAACCATACAGCCGAGATATGGTATGCCGGGGGAAATTCAGGGAAGTAATCCGATAGCTATCGTTTCACTAGAAATCTCACAACCGCTCAGGAAACCCAAGTGGGTACTTGAATGCAGAATATTCTGCATACCTACTTGTATGCAGAATATTCTCTGTACTTGGCAAGTACACAGAATATTGTGTGTACTTGGTCAAGTACATACAATATTGTGTGTACTTGGTCAAGTACACAGAATATTGTGTGTACTTGACCAAGTACACACTAAAACCCTCCATACATTCATGCAGGAGACTTAGTGTGTACTTGACCAAGTACACACAATATTCTGTGTACTTGACCAAGTACACACAATATTCTGTGTACTTGGTCAAGTACAGAATATTCTGCATTCAAGTCCACACTTGGGTTTCCAGAGCTCCTCCTCCTCCTCCTCCTCCTCTCTGCCCCTCCTCTCTGGTCCTCCTCCTCCTTTCTGCTCCTCCTCCTCCTCCTCCTCTCTGCTCCTCCTCCTCTCTGCTCCTCCTCCTCCTCCTCTCT